CCAATAAATCTAGTTTCAAGAATGATACAACTTTTGAAAATATTTAAAAAATTAGTGGAACATTTAAAAAAAAAATGTTAAATTTTAAAACTTGATTATCTCGGAAACACAAAAAATAGACGTACGGTCTCTTGGTTCTCAACGGACAAAATACTTCCATGGATGTTGCTCAAACGATCAACTCTTATTTCATTAACCAAAACTCGATAGTCATTCAGTAAAGCTGCATCCTTTTACTGGATCTGTTCTTTCGTGGTTTAAAAACTTTTCGTCTTACTTTATTCCTCATATATCAATACTATAAAATTCTCTCCCCTCTTCACTTTTTCCTGAATAAAATTTTTTTAGTCTTCTGGCACCTGCTATCTTGCTCTTCTTTACTTTTTCTACTGTTGTAAATTCAAATATAAATAGTGGTTGCTTGCAGCCTTTTTGAAAATGAATGAGTTAAAAAAAATGTTTATAACCTAAATAAAAAATTTAAAAAAGTAAAAATTAAAATTTTGATAAGAATATTTTTTCAGTTAAGTATCAGTGCCATATGCGCTCACTCTTTTTCCATCTAAATTCCTTAATGCAAGGAATGAAGTTAAAGGGCTTTTTGTTCCCAGCCCCCAACCATTGCAACTTTGTGCAAAGCATCATTAATTGACACAAGTGTAAACATGTTTGGAGTTTGCTCCATGTCTGGAATTTCTTAAACACCAAAAAATCCTGGATCACTGAACATAAAACATTGTATTTAACATTAAGATTAAATATCGTATAAAAAAAATTCAGTACCAGGTTTTTTTAGAGAACCAAAATCTTGTAAAAGCTTTGTAAAAATTTACATTAGAATGGGCATAACAAACATTGCAATTATTTGTATGATCACACATGTTTAAGAGAAACTGCGGAAATAGCGACTAAGGAGAAGTAACATAAATTTAAAAAATGATTGGAAAGGTGGTGTCATGTAATCAAAATATGATAGTGGAAATAAAATTGACATGTTTTTATGCGATGCTTTGAAACAAGACCGTGGGTCTTCTTGGGGCACCTAAAGCAAAAATTAAAAAAAATTTAATGCTGTAAGTCTTTTAAACTTAATTGAGTGGAGCAGTGTTTTAATAGAGCGGCTTTTGACACTCAACCTTACATTTGCTGTTGTTAAAGATTTTATTAATGCTCCCTCAGTTGTTTTCCAATGGAGTTTACAGATGTGTTTACAGATAGTTACAAAGCTGCAGTGCATAACCGCAAAACCCAAAAGACAAAAAGCTTACATTAGGGCTCAATTCATTAGCTAACAGGAGCATTAAAGACACGATTAGACTTTTAAGATAAAGAGATTTTTTTCTTGATATTATTATTTTTATTGCTAAGTGAACATAGATAAACATTTAATGGTTCTTAAATATATTACTACATATTTAAGAAGCATTTAATGTTTTTCGAAATTTTTAATTATTTCTAAAGGCTGGTTGTTGGAATTTCATCATTGTAAAGATACAAATATGAACCTACTCTCAAAATAAATTTATTTAAGAAAGAGGTTATTTTTTTATAAAGGTTAAAAAAATTATTTTATAAAAATATATTTAAAAGAAGAATTTAAAATTATTTTATAAAAATATATTTAAAAGAAGATTAAATTTTGAGAAGCAACTTTTTACAAAGGTTGCTTCTCAAAATTTTCCCAAAATATTTATTCAAGTCTAAAATTCTATAGGTTTTGCCATTAAAACTATTTTCATGAACTATTGATGGTTTTGATAGTGATTTATTGTACGAGAAACATGCAAAACTAATGATACAAGTTGCCGCCTAATTTGATTGGTTGTTGTAGGTTTTAAATAAGATTTGCTGTTTAATGTTATTAATTGATATTATTGTGTCACTCTTGCTTCAAGTGGCATTTTTATTATTTTTGTGAAATTGATTGAAACTACATTTAAGAATAACTGCTAAGGTGAGAGCTTCGTAAATTTGTTAAAACTATTTAACTGGCGTTCGTGGTATATATTTTAAATAGGTTTTTGTCCAAGTAGATTATTGTGGGGTGATTTCGCCACAGAATGATAAAAAAGTCCCACAGTTAAAAAAATATATAATCTGGAATATTTTTGCTTTCTAAACAATATTTACTATTAATATTTATTATTATATAAACAATTTTATAAAATCATTGGACATATATCAGGCATTATAGTAATGAAAAATAATAATTTATTAAAAAAGTAATGATAAATTTATTAGAAGTATTTTAAAGTTATAATAAACCAATAGTTTTTAGATATTTAATAAATAGTGTTTTAATAATAACATTTAATAAATAATTTTCTAAAACTCTCCTAAAACTTTGTATTTGAAAATGTCATTTATTCCAATTAAATCCAATTGAAAAAAAAATTTCTTATATTCGAATCATCAAATGCTCACCATCGCTGATTGTTTATAGTCACTATATCAATTAGCATGTTTAAAGTAGACCATTATAAAATCCAAGCATCGATATTTAAAAAGATAGTTAATATGCAAATCGGTAATAATTATCTTGTTGCATTTTTACCCTAAGTGCCAAAATCTAAAACTCGCTGTATATTACCTATGGTTCAGATAGTACGCAAGTATCTCCAAAAGAAAAAGAAACCCTATTGTAATATCAACCTTCAATAGGCTATTCAAGAATGAAAATGTCATGAAGATTGAAATGTAAAATAAAGAAGTTCTCAAACAAACAAAAAAAGTGGCTCAAGAAAGAAAAGGAACTTTTTGGCTAATCAAGTAAAAAGCATATATATGCCATATGGCTCAAAGAAGAGAAAATGTCATTGTTCAAAATCATTATCAAATGCTACCGAGTACATCAAAAGCTTATAACAGACACAGCAAAAAACAACTCACTGCTTTGTGTTTGGTGTGGCATGGGTGAATTCATCAGAAGACTAGCTCCAGTGCGTTTCTTGTCATATATGGGCGTGTGAAGTCTGCTTTTGCATCGAAATGCGCACAGAATGTGCTTAATTCGACAAAATATAATTAAAATTTAACTCTTTTTACATTGGCGAAATCGTCCATAAAAGGCGAAATTGCCTTTCGCGATTGGGGCGATTTCGCCAATGTAAAAAGAGTTAAAGCTTTTATTTTTTCTTTAAGACCTTTTTAGCCCCCTCCTTGGCGAGTGAAAAAACCCGCCCCTGTTGGAATAGAGGTCCATAAATTACATCACGTAATTTTAGACCGTTTTTGACCTAACCACTAACCTCCCCCGTCGCAAAACCGTAACACTTTAGCAGCGAGTTTTGTATGAATCGTCACAAAACCACTAACCCTCTCCACTTAGAACGTGACGTAATTTATGGACGATCCATAGTTAGAAAAGAAAAAAATATGGAAGAAAATAATCTGTTTTTAAGGAGAATAAAGAATTAAAAATCGCCGAGCTTTTGCTGCTTTATGTGCGCATCTAATAGTCATAAACAGTAATACTAAAATTTGAAAAAAATGCAGGGAGTGTTTTACTTCAAAATACCTTATTATTATTTTCCTGATTTATATGTAAAATCGTATTTATTTATTTTTTAAATGACACACCCTATTATAAAATACAGTTATTTATTGTCGTATAAAAAGCATGCAGTCGTTTAAAATCTCGCGAGGAGTTTTAAGAAGCGAAACATTTTAGTTGAATTAATAGCTCTTAGATAAAATAAAATATCTTATATTAAATCTTATTACTTTTATAATGCTTTCTGTAAAAATGTAGCTCTTCCCTAGTTTTTTTTATTTTGCGCGTTTATTTTAACTGAGTAATATTGCTTTCATTTAAATCTAACTTTAATTTTACTTTTTTTTTTTCTTTTTTTTGTGTATATTTTTTCAAGAGCAATTAAAAAACGGTGATGAAAGAAAAATATCGCACGCGTAAAGACGGAGGTCTTTTTTCGTTGAACGCCTTTTGATCTATTACGAGTCGCTTTAAAAGATCAAGAGTTTAATCGAAATCTATTGTTTTCGTTCAATATATGTTGTAATTTTTCTATACAAATTTAAAATGCAAAGTTTAAATTAAACTTATATACACTCACTCACGCACATATATATACATATATATTAATATATATATATATATATATATATATATATATATATATATATATATATATATATATATATATATATATATATATATATATATATATATATATATATATATATATATATATATATAATATATATATATATATATATATATATATATATATATATATATATATATATATATATATATATATATATATATATATATATATATATATATATATATATATATATATATATATATATATATATATATATATATATATATTTAAAGAAAAAGTTTTTGACGCAAGCAGTTCTGTTATTCCAATCTTTTCTTTATTTTTCATTTTGAATTGACGAAATTTATCTTTTGTTTGATAAGACGGACTTAAACCGTAGAACTAATTGTATTTACAATTACAAACAAACAAAAAAAAAACATCAACGAACTGTTAAAGTTCTTTTTTAAATTTTTTTAAAGGTTTTAAATTTTCAGTTCAATTTTAACAAGTTTGTATATTATACACAAACTAATATAAGTTTTTAACGATATGCATATTTTAGATTTTAGGATTTATTTTACCTTTGTTAGTTAATAGGGTAGAATTGTAAGCTAATTTTATTTTGTAGAAATCCATTTAATTTTCATATATATATATATATATATATATATATATATATATATATATATATATATATATATATATATATATATATATATATATATATATATATATATATATATATATATATATATATATATATATATATATATATTTAATATATATATATATATATTTAATATATATATATATATATTTAATATATATATATATATATATATATATATATATATATATATATATATATATATATATATATATATATATATATATATATATATATATATATATATATGTGTGTGTGTGTGTGTGTGTGATATTATTCCTTATAGATGTGACATTATTCCTATATGAAAAAGGCATGAGCAACCCACATGTTTTTGATGAACTTTCAAATAGACTGAATAAAAATGTAAACTCTACTGCATCCAATGACTTACAACCTTGCAATGATGTCAAAAATACTCTTCATGATTCAACAGGCTCTAAACAGCATGTCAATGAATATGTAGATGGTAAAAAGCCTGAAAAAAAGAAAGGAGTTATTAAATCATTAAAAAGTTTTTTTTCAAAAAAAAAAAAAAAAAAAAGTCATTCTGATCAAGCTTTGAATTTTGATTCAGAAATTAAAAAAGAAGATCACTTAAATGTAAAAAGTAAGATAGATGGTGATACACTTGTCTTAAAAAATGAGGTAATTTTTTTAAATATATATGTATATATATATATATATAAGTATAAAAAAATGAGATTGTTTTTCAAAATTAAACTCATAAAAATAATTTTTCAGAGTTCCTAACAGTAACCTAACAACTAAATTATTGATAATATCTCTAATATCACAAGAAAAAAGTTTATTAATAGTAGGTTAATCCGAAATTTGAATTTGATATAATTTAGCTAAAAAAATAGCAAATAGAACATTGTGCAAAAAGGTGCAATACATTTTTTTATATTTAAATATATTTGCAATAAATTTGATTTTTATCTTTTTCAGGAAACAATAAATGTTTTCCAATTTAAATGTTTTGTTGGAGAAAAACATTCAAGTTGAATTTCAACTCGAATGTTTTACTGTATATATCACAATTAAAACCAAACTAAAGCAATAATTAAACAAATTATGCTTGGTTATTTATTTGAAATAGTTGGAGAGAAATTAAAAATCAGAATACATAGTAGCATTACGATTTCATATTTTTGCCAAATTGTATGTCAAATCAAAGATTATTTGAAAAACAATTTAAATATCTAGATGAAGGTTAAACTAACTTTTGACATAATTTAATAAGAAGCTCAAAATGGCATATCATTTTTTATTTTGTTATATAAAGCTTTATTTTTTAAATATTTTCTTTTATTAGTTTAATAAAAGTCAAAATGATTATTTATTTTCACCTAGAACAAATAACAGATTTCCCTTTTTACATACACTCTGAGTAAAATTATTGTCAAGTTTTATTTAACTGTTATCAGGAGGCAAAGACAATTAGCAACAACAACTATACATTAAAATATATCAATGGACATCCCCAATTTTGCTGCACAAGACTATCTTTTTTTTTAAATCTTCTTTTTTGAAAACATCTGTACTTCTAAAAAGGCTGCAAGCAACCATTATTAGATTCGGTAGTTACTGGAAGAGAAAAGATAAAGTTTATAAAGCAAAATAATGATTAACAGATAGGAAAATAAGATAAAGGAAGCGAATGGCAAAGAACTGATGTTCAAAGAAAAAAACTAAATGAATAAGAATTTTTGGAGCACTTAGAAGCAGTCACAGTAAAAGGATGAGACTTAATTGAATGATGAGTAACACGAGAATGAAATTTTAGATTTTAAAACAGTGCCCATTATAGTATTTTTAGAAAAGAGAAAGGGAAGCAGGATTATGATGATGTGATAATGGTTGGAGGTTGGCTGCAAGAGCAGGTCCAACTATGTTTACAATGTGTTTTTGCACCTTGTCTAAAAGGCAGTGTTCTATAAAGGACAAATTAGAGGTTTATAGAGATAAAGAATAGAATCCAGAGTAAGAAAGTGGCAAGTACAATAAAGAGATACAACCTTAGCAGATGCTAATTTTGCAATGGATTTGATATATGGTTTCCAAGAAATATTTGTAAGAGTTAATCCAAGAAGGCGAATGGTAGATGACTCATTGAGTACATTACCGTTTATAAATTAGGAAGATCTAGATTGTTGCAACAACGATTAGTTAAAAAAGTTGAGTTTTATTTGAATTAAATTTACCAGCCACTGAGAGCCCCATGCTACAGCACAAGTAAGATTCTTTTCAAGCTCAAATACCCCCTCCAAGCAATCAGATGGTATTATGCTTCTTATCAAGACAAGAATAAATGGAAGTATCATCAGCGAACGATGCCACCAGATATGAGAATTTCAGGGAGATTGTTAATGTAAATTAAAAAAAAGGACCTAGAATAGAATCTTAAGAACCCCTGAAGTTACTGGAAATGAAAAAGAGTGCTGTCCATTGAGAAAAACTTTTATACTACGATCAATATCAAATCAGAAAGATTCAATAATCTTAAAGATGTTACCTGAAATTTTTAAGTGCTTATATATAAAAACAGTCTTGCTTTCCAGCAGGCTGGAAAACAAGACTCTGATAAGCACTTGTTAAGTAGTTTTGAAAGTATAGGTGACAGTTCGAGTGAACACTTCTCCAACAGAACAGGTATGTCAAGTTATGGATCAACCTGTTTGTTGGCTATATCAGATAGTATGTGATTAGCAGAATTAAGAGATGAGATTGATGAAAAGTTCTCAGAAAACAGTTCAGCTTTTTCAAAGAGTATAATGGAATAATAGATTTGCCCTTATTATAGACACTGTTAAAAATTCTTCAGAAGTCTCTAGAGCTTAATTTAAGTACAATATTTTGTGACATGAGAGTAGGTCACAAAATCTTGTACTTTATCTCTAAAATTAACCATAGGTAAAAAAGTTTTTATAACGCCAAGGCTTTGGCATTAGACAGAACTTTTTTACAATAGTTTTTAGTAATATTAAATAGACATCTTTTTTCTGGAGAATTGTTTTGCTGATAGATATGGAAGTAATGGTTTTGATTGGAGATTGCAGTAGCGCAATGCAAGAAAAACCTTGGGAAAGTGTGAGACTTGACTTAAAATTGTCTAGAGGGGATAAAAAATTCCATGCCAGCCTGAATCCAAGAAGTTACATAAGAAGCACATTTATCAGCAGGAAGACGAAAGATTTCTACCCAAGAGCCATCATGAAAAAAGCCATGGAAAGAGTCCAAGTTAGCTATAAGGTAGTTGTAAGAGATACAATGATATGGGGATTCTGATGATGAAGAAGAATGAGATAATCAGGCTTGGCCAGGAAGGCATGCTATTTCACATCATAGTTTGACCACGCAAATACTATTTGATTTTACTTAACTTGACCACAGCTGTTAAAATGTTTTGAAAATTTGTATATATTTTAAAAACACGCTAAAAAAAATTTAACCAAATCTTAACTATAAAGAAACTTTTTAAAAAATTATCGTTAAAGAAGCAAATAAATCTTTGTAAAAAAAAACGAAAAACAAAATTAAAATAACTTAACTAAAACTTAAATAGTAAAAATATTATAAAAACGTTAAGTAAAAATCAAAGTTATTTAATTTAAACGGCTTTCAAAAAAATTTGTCTTTTTTTTCTTCTCACAAAAACTTTAATGATTCTTATATAAGGTTTATTAGAGGACTGTTTAAAGTTGTTGCTATTTAAAGTCGTCGCTGTTTATAGTTGTCACTTATAAAATTCAATTTTTTTTTTAATTTTTACTTTTTTTTATTTTTACTTATAAAAAAATCTTACATGATTAAATAATATAAATAAAAAATTATACAACTTTTAATGATACTTTAACTTAAAAGCATTTTGCTAATATAAAAACATTAGTAAAGATAAATGTGTCAAAGTAATTTATTTTCAACGTAATTAAAAACCAATTTTTTCAGCGCATTTGTTAAAAACGTGGTTAAATCATCAAAACAAAATTTAATTTGCGTGGTCATATAAAGACTTGAAAATGCACGCGTTCCTGGCCAAGTCTGAATAATAATTTTAAATAAGAATAAGTAAATGATTCGGATTAAGATTTCGGAAAGCGAGTTGGAAATCGACTATTTGAGTTTGAGATTAAGAAAGGCAAAAGTTTTGGGCCCCAACACCAGCAGAGTCATTGACTCTAGAACCAACCCATTCAGTGTGATGAGCATTATAATCATCAACAACAACAATATTGGATGAAGGATAAAGAGGAAGGGCTAGGTCGATTGGATCAGAAATAACATCAAAAAGATAACAGTCTTGAAATGAAGGAGAATGATATAGAACAAAGAGAAAAGTGATCAAGTGAAGAGGTGCTGAAGAAAAGCACATAAAAGAATAGTCTGTGGATTCAAACCTAGTTTCCTGACAAATGGGTGAATTTTTTCCAGACAAATGGGTGAATTAAAGGAAGATAACCATCAATGCTAAGATTACAAGATGAGGCAGCTGAACTCGAATTAGTCTCACAAAGAGCAAGTAGGTCTGGTGAACTTTGCAAGAGATAAGACAAAGTACTTATTTTATAGTTTTTTTTAAAAGTTCAAACCTGAACATGTTCGAACTATTACGGAAAAAAGATATTTTGAACTTTTTTTAGTTGTGTTAAATCAGGCAAAAGTGATACAAAGTATGCATAAAATTATTTATTTGTTTATCATCATTGATTAGGACAAAAGTAAATAACATCAATAAGTACTGTGGTAGTTTGTTCCATCCGCCTGATTTGTTCCATCCCACTGCCTAAAAGTCAAAATGAGAATGCCTTTTTAAGTTATAACTGTTAGAAATGACCGAACATAGTTAGAACATAGTTCCATTTTTTACGCAGTGGGATGGAATAAATCAGACGGATGGAATAATCTACTTTAGTAGTAAATTATTCTATCCCAATGTGTAAAACATCAAATTGAAACTAATTTTATAACTTTTTTTTGTTTCCATGTTTATTTAGTAAAGATAGCGGTCTTTTAAAAGTTGTTTACAAATTTTTTTATTTCCCATAAATCAAATAAATGTGATTAATATGTAATGGGATGGAATAAATCAGGTGGATGAAATAATCTACTACATGCTCCATCTCCTATAGTGAATCGTACAATTTTAGATATATGATACTGGTATTGAATAATAGTAAAAATATAATTATAATTATTAATCTAACATATTTATATTAATCTAACATAATTATATTAGTCTATTTTAAAGATATTGATATATTATATATATTTTTTCTTCAAATATTTTAAAAAATAATATAAACGCATTTTATATTATTTTTTAAATAAATTATATTTAGTTGAAAAAACTTTATAATTACTTTAATAAGTTTCTGAATTATTACCTCCCCCAAAAATCAAAATTATTTTAGTAGAAAAAGCTCTCTCAGCTTCTCTGGGTATAAGAGGAATTGTTTAAAGACCTTTGAAAAGTAAATCTAAATACTTGGGCCTAGCTTTGCTAGCTTCAAAAACAGCCATTTCCTTTTGAACGAGGTTTGTTCCAATTTCCTGATGGTCAAGTTTCATTTCAGTGTCTGATTGTTTAATAAAAAGATTGAGTTGTAGAGCTAAGTTCAATTCATTTTTGATTTTTTATGTTATCC